TCAAACCATTCAGCTCCCACTGTAACATTATTAACCTGAAACTAGCGAGATGTTCAGTTAATCAGCCTTTTTCAGTAAGTGTAAGTGCAGCCTAACAAACAGATTAAACCACCAACACTAATTTCATTTACTCAGATTTAACGCTTCATCCTTTAAAGTTAGACCAGTAAAACAGAACTGGACCTGTGTAGTAGTAATGTTGGCCTCTAATGCAAAAAGTAGAAAAAAGTATCTAAGCTAATAGCTTCTCATGCATCAGCATCAGTTCACTTCTTCATATTTGAGTATTTGCCCTCTAAACTTGTGTGAGTGGAGCATTTTGCTGGAATCAAACCTGTGCTGTGGTGTGTGAGGCTGTTATATCAGCATGCTAAGCTGCTGCCTGCTACTGAGTACACAGATTTAGCCAGTACACTAACAATTTAGTGAAAAAACTTTAAGTTGGCTTGAAAACGCCAGCTAATGAAGTTTCAGAAGTCAAAGAAGTTGTAGGTGATTGCTAGGCTATTCCAGGTCATTGCTAAGGTGCTGCTAGGCCATTGCAATAGTGTCCCAGTTGGTTGCTAAGGTGTTGCTAGGTTGTTGCTATGCTATCCCAGGTGGTTGCTAAGGTGCTGCTGGGCCATTGCAATGGTGTCCCAGTTAGTTGCTAAGGTGTTGCTAGGATATTGCTATGCTATCCCAGGTGGCTGTTAAGGTGCTGCTAGGCCATTTCAATGATGTCCCAGTTGGTTGCTAAGGTGTTGCTAGGCCTTTGCTACAGTGGTCAAGGTGGTTGCTAAGATGTTGCTTGGCCATTGTTATGCTTTCCCAGGTGGTTACTCAAGTGTTGCTAGGCCAGTGCTATGCTATCCCACGTGGTTGCTAAGGTTTTATTAGGAAGTTGCTACTGTATTCCAGATGATTGCTAAAGTGTTGCTAGCCCATTGGTATGGTATCCTAGGTGGTTGCTAAGGTGTTGCTAGACCATTGCTATGGTATCCCTGGAGGCTACTAAAGTATTTTTAGGCCATTTCTATGGTAACCCAGGCACTTGCGAGGAGTGTGTAAAGAGATTTGATGTTTGTTGAGTGCATAATGTGTTTGTATCTGTGTGTGGAGTGTGTGTGTAATTAAAATCTGTGTAAGTCTTAAGTATAATGTAGTATAAAATATTTACATAAACACACACACACACATATATGCACACAACACAGCATCATACATCACCAAAAAAGAAAACTTTTCATTTACTAGTTAAAGCATTTACTAACATTCACTCATTCACTCATCATCTAAGCCACTCATCATCCTGGGTCGCAGGGGATGCTGGAGTCTGTCCCAGCGTTCCTTGGGCAGAAGGCTGGAAGCTCCCAGGACAGTTTTCATTATACTTATGTATGTTTAACTGTAGATCCTTTATAGGATATTTTTGTTCCGAAGTTCCACTTTTTATTAAGCAGGCCTAAGATTTTGATACTGTACCCTAACTTTAACTTTTTACACTACATATAAGAGCAGGAAGCTCATACTTCTTATAACTGCGCAGTTCTAAGGTTCAGACCTTATCTGAACAGAGATACTGAGTAATCTAGGCCAGTGGTTTTCAAACTGTGTGTCGCAACCCACTGGGGGGGACGAATTGTTTGCAAGGATGTTGCTTAATGTCCTTTCTTCTACAAAAGCAAAGCTAAATGAAGCGCAGTGTATATCAGAAATGGGAATCGCTCCGCGTCTGCAGGACGCCGCAGCAGCTTGCAAAGCTGTCCTGTGTTATCAGTGGTATCAGCGCACACAGCAAACATGTTAGAGCCGCCACAAATCAGAAACTGCAATAAAGATTTCCACCCCGAGTATCACACAAACCAACACAGGACATGCAAGAAGCATATACAAAATTCCAAAACAAAAAACATTACAGCAGTCAGAGACCACCTTTCATTTAATGAATGTCCAGTGAAAATGGCCATTATGTACAATTTATTCAACATATTTATTCAGTTTATTTAAAAAATTATATAGAGAACAAACGATACACAGAACCCAGTACAATTTTTTTTTTTTCAGTACTTAGTGTGTCCACTCTTTAGCTTTATTACAGCTTCCATTCTTTTCGGGAGAGTTTTAGGTTTTCAAAGAAATTTGTAGGGATATTTCATCTCCAGTCAGTCTTAGAAGCTTACAAGTTTCCTTTCATAACCCAAAGTATCCCAAACACATTCAATGATGTTGAGGTCTGGACTCTGGGATGGTCGGTCAGTCCATTATTCTTAGAGAACACCAGCAGCTTCAATGTTTGAGACACTCTTGCAAGGTTGAAAAATTGCCTCTGCAACAGTTCTGTGTGACATAACTTGCATATTCATCAGTTCCCGGTGAAGCACCTGTTATCATTATGGCAAAAACAGCAGTGATCAGAGTACAGAGCTAACTAGCCTACTAAGCTAGCTGACAACACTGGAACAACTGTATGAGACAAAATATCAATGACATGTATGTGTCTGAAATACTTTTTTGACACACCTACTGTATTATAACCCTACACAAATTATTTGGTGGGTGTCAGGACAAATAGTACATCTCACATGAAAAAAGTATGGAACCCCTGATCTATGGCCTATTTGGCACTGAAGACATGGGTTAAATTTGGGTTTTGGAGGTGGAGGAGGCTGCTGTGTAAGTACACAGGCGCAATACGGCTGCTGGATTACATTGGTTTTCTTTATTTCATATCGTTTGTGTGCATGTTTTGATGTTTCCCTGCTGGCTGAGGGTTTTCTATTGTATTGTCTGAGATAGTGGCACAGAATGACTTTCCCCCATGGTTCAAAGCCTTCTTGGGCTGGCCACTTGAGTAATGCTACATCGTAGCTACGTGGCTGCCTGGGCTGGCTGCCTGAGTGCTGCTATATAGCTACATAGCTGCCTAGGCCAGCTGCTTGAATGATGCTACACTGCAGCTATGAGGCTGCCTGAAGTGATGTTGTCCAGCTTCATGTAGTTTGCACTACACTGCAGCTATATGACTGCTTGGACCAGTCACTTGAGTGTCACTATATCTTAGCTACGTAGCTGCTTGGGCTGGCTACTTGAGTGCCGTTGTATTGTAGCCACATAGCTGTTTGGGCCAGCTGCTTGAGCACTGCTATGTCATAGTTACATGGCTTCCTTGGTTGGCTGCTTGAATGTCACTATGTCTTAGCTAGATGGCTGGCTGGTCAGGCTGTTTGTGTGCCACTGTATCATAGCTATATGTCTGCCTAGGGTGGCTGCCTGAGTAACGCTATATCGCAGCTTCATGGCTGCTTGGGGTGACCACTTGAGTGTCACTGTATCATAGCTACATGGCTACCTGGTCCAGCTGCTTGAGTGCCACAGTATCATCGCTATGTGGCTGCCCGGGCCACCTTCTTGAATGCCGATATTTCATAGCCATGTCGCTGCCTAGGCTGGCTGCTTGAATTGCCACCGTATCATACCTACGTGGCTACCTGGGCCGGCTGCTTGAGTGCCTCTATATCATAGCTACATGGCTACCTGGGCCGGCTGCTTGCATTCTACTACATCAGAGCTATGTGGCTGCCTGGGCTGGCTGCTGTTGAGGACTGATTGATGGATTTTCCTGCATTTTGTCCATCTCTATATCTTGTGATTTCTGCTTCTCAAAATTCATCCAGTAAAACTCACCATCTGACATAAACACTACAGACAATACTACAAAATAAAAGTCATTTCAGGAGCTGAAAGAGTCGACTCTTATTGAGGAGCTGACCACTTGATCTTACTCACTAAAAAGAGCTGGAACGCCTGTCACTACTGCATATCATCTTACCCACCCCACTTTTTATTTTTCACTTTTTATATCATGGTAAACATCTTTGCCATCCCACAATCCTCTATTTTCCCCACAATGTACAACTTACCTTTGTACACTATGGGATATAAAATAGTATTTTGTATCATAATGTATGATTCTCAGCCTCTATAGTGCAAACAATTGATGTGAGAAACTGCAATATTTTTCAAATGTTTATGCCAGATTACACGTGATATTATGGGCCAAATAAATAATTACCTCAGCTTCAGTGTGTTTTATTTCACAACAAACATATCGACATACACTGCTTTTGTTTCTGGATGGAGCTAAACCTCAGATGGAACAGCTTGAAGCACCACATCTTTCTCAGAGAGCTGGAAAAACTGGTGGTAGAACCCCAAATTCAACAGAAGAACTTTATTCCAAGAACCCCCTGCATGCTGCCATGGTGAGAATACTTCAGGATGAGGATCATCCTGCCACACCCATACCATTTACACCTTCAGCTCCTGTAAGTGCTTGTGAGTGCATTGTAATTTGATGAGTTGAGGTCAAAAAAATAATTCACATGATGTCAAGGAAGAGATCCTGTGCTCAGAAGGCCCTGTAAAATGGCAAGACTCTGGCTCACACAGTGGAGTAGAGGAGGAGGTGTCCGAACAAGAGGACAATATGGAACTCAATTCTGATTAGCGAAGTGAATTTTTGGGTTGGAAGAAGCTGAACTCCTGCCCACAACAACCATTTTCATAAATTGCCCCCCTCCTCCCCTCCTTCCAAGGTGATTCAGCAGCAATTAGACTAAATTGGACTTTAATCTATTTAGTAATTTGTATTATAAGTATAATTTGTTGCTGTTAATCTCTCAACTTGAAGTCCAAAGAGCTTCAGCGAAAGTGAAATGAGACACCATTAGGCTGAAAACTCTAAACAAACCCACCAGAGACATTAGGTGCGGCAAAACCAACTACATTAAAAAAAGAGAGAATGCACTGATGAGCTCAGAAACACCAAAAGCCCCAGAAGACCACTGAATATGAATAACCTGAAAAAAACAACAAAAAAAAAGTTACACAATACTTTATATCTCTCACATGGTCTTTTTCAGTGACCATCAGAACTGAACCACTGAAAAAATCAAGTGTAATACTGATACTGCTGTGAGAGCAGCACATTAAAGGATGTGAGAATGAGAGGTGTTTGTGGTAAGCATATCTTGCCTACCCTGCCACGTATATAATTCTTTTTCTGTCTATAGAGAACTCACTCTTTCTTTGCTGAACCATGGCTGTCGTCTCGCTTCTTCTGCTGACTGCCCTCCTGCCGTACCTGGGCAGATCTGGTGAGCTTTATTTGATCTCATAAACTTCCTGTTCTCTATAAGATTTCAGTACCAATTGATAATTGCAGGCAGTATATCACCGCCGTCATATCACAAACTCATAAGTAATGACTTCTGTCAATTCTAGAGAAACTTACTGAGTCAGAACTGTCCCTAGAGGTGGTGATAAGAACCAGATGTCCGAGGCATTTAATAAAGACACCTCAAAGAAAGTTATTACGCTAAATAGCTGTGATGTGTTGCCTGATGACTGAGACATTGTCTTATGATAGTTTGGGCTGAAATGTAAGATCCATTCATGGTGGAGAGGTACACAAAGGGAGTTGCAGGGCTAAATAGTCCCCAAAGAAAACTCATGTTTTCAGTTTTATCACTATTTTACCATCATCAACATTACATTTAAAACTGAGAAGACATGTGTAGGTCATTTATCGTGAGCGCTGGTTCCTATTAGTACCATTGTAAAGAAATCCTAGGCAGTGCGTTTCTCTATAATATTTTACGTAAAGCACCTCTGAATGACTTTGTTTACATTTCAACCATTGAAGTACACAAAAAATTTGCTGAAATGGTGGAATTCCTCTTTGAGCAGTGTTTGCTTCTTTAGATGTCTAAGGGGCAGATTTACTAGCGTTTTGGCCATAAAAATGGCTGTTGCAATTTACGCAATTAATGGTTGTGTTTAGAGAGAAAAGAGAGAGTTTTACAAACACATTTATTTATTTTTAATGGAAAAAACACTTGCAAATGCTGGTACAGATGATAGTCTTGCGAGGCCCCTGGCCACAGGAGTCTTTGGACCTCCCACACTCCAACAGTAAAGTATTAAACATTTACATAAAGAGTGAAATAAGAAACACTTTCCAACACTGTATTTATTTTTTGCTTTGTGTGATATTTGATGTGATATTGATTGTGTCTACATCATAGTTTTTTGCATATGATTTGAAGATTTTGTCTAAGATTGAATCATACTTTTTTTCTCTTTCCTCTTCCACCACTATCTAAGCCCATCTAAAACATCCCATTTTAATGGCAGCAACAAGATGTCAGTCAAAAATAATATAAAACTTAAGGGGCCTGAGAACAAATGACTTTACTTAATTTATTTAGTGATGTGTACAAGGGCTATTTGTTCATCTCATATTTGCTTTTGTAGTGGATTGTTCTAGGTATTTGGCCCCAAAGGGGCCCTTGGCAGTCAAAGGCCCTGGGCACTGGCCCAGTTATTAATCTATCTTTGTTTAAACTCCTGCCATGCATGCCACATTACCAAACTTACCACAAAACCAAACCAAATAGTTTTAGAAAAATAGTGTTTTAAACTGTTTTTTACAATATTTTGAGTATATTAACCCCTAAAAATCCCAGGCTTCTTACATACTAAAGCTGATTATTCAGTAACCACAGGGACTTCATTGTAAACAGGCTGAGTTATTCTGAGGTTATAGAAGTGTGTAATAAACTTTGGGCCTGCCGGTGGGCCCTGACCATTTAAGGGTTTAAAAACAATTAAGGAGCAGGTTTTTCCTAAATAATAATAAAGAGTTTTATTTTCTAGACATATTGGAAATCTTTGGCTCTGCAATTGCTGGTTTACTACATCTCCTCCTTACAGTCATTGTTCGATGTATTGCAAGTTGTTTAAGAGGTTACATTGAAAATCATACAATTCTCAAAATAACGCTCAATGAATATAAACAGGGATTTTACAATATCACACGTTTTCCAAACGCAGTCGGCCTAGAGCCCAAACTGAGTTCATCCCTCCAGCCGAAAATGAACTTGTTTTAAAACAGAAAGTAAAACAAAATTGCTTAATTTCCCGAATATCTGACAAATTAATCTTATTTTCTCAAATTAATGGCCATGATGTTGAAATAATCACATGCTTTCTCAGCGAGTAATAATTCTTTTTTTTTGAGTTGAGTTTAAACTTGAAACAAAGAAGGACTAATTGGCTTTCATACAAAGAGCACCTGAGTCAAATGTGTGGTTATATTATGATGGTCATATGTTTATCATGAAGTTGCTATGCTCAGTTGCGTGGAATTTCTTAGTAGGCAACCCACTAAACTGGCCACCCCCACCAGTGCCAGTGGACTGTCAGTAATTACTGGCTCTTCTAGTAAACCTGCCCCTAAGCGTTTTATATTATATATATATATATATATATATATATATATATATATATATATATATATATATATATGTTTGTGTTTATATTTGCTATGACAGGCCATCATTATGTTGGTTTCTACTGAGAGAAAAAATGAATCACAGCGTTTCTTTCATCTCCCTCTCCTTGAAACAGCTTATGTCGACATGGGCATAGTGAATGGCACAGAGACTAAACCACACTCCAGACCCTACATGGTTTCCGTTCAAAGAAGCGGAAGGCACATCTGCGGCGGCTTCCTCGTGTCTGAACACTTTGTGATGACGGCTGCGCACTGCTGGAATCAGTAAGCTCCTTGCTTAGTAAAAGTTTCACACTGACTGAGTGCTTTGACAGGTCAGTGTCACCTTTGCTTTCAGAATGATGCAATTTCTGAGAAACAAGGGGTCTCTGAGTGGTCTGACCTCTTTTGAAATGATCCATTCATTAAAAAAAATGTAATACAGTATATTTTATAGTATTTAGTATAGATATATTACACACAGTTTGGAATATACGTTCCACTATTCTGACAATATATAACCATATATTTCATTTTCATAGGGGTAATTACTATGCCAAATCAAAAATATTATAAATATATAGACAGACCAAATCTTGTTATTCTTAACTTCGATATATGTTGTTATGTAGTTTTAGGCCTTTTCTTGTAGTCAGTTTGTCATGAAATATTCACACAATCTAAAGGGCAGTTGGCTTTTCCAAATGATGTAAAAACATTAAATAAATGAGGTTCAAGTGGTTTAGATATGATGAAATATGAAAATTAAGACTTCTCTCTTATTCACTTGTTTCTAATAGGGGGGAAAAGCTGACGGTTGTGTTGGGCATGCATGAGCTGCCAAAGAGCACCTCCACTAAGGGTCGAATGGAAGTGAAGTTCTATCACATCCATCCGATGTATGACTCCAATACTCTGTTCAATGACATCATGCTGCTACAGGTAAACTACCAGACACTTAGTCACATGAGTGACATGTAAGACGCTAGTGCCTCAGCAGCTGTGAAATACGTCAAGCGTAGGTGTGTCACTTATGGCAAGTGTGAACGTTTAAGGTGAGGGCCAGTTTACCACAAAGTCAGCCAGTTTCACAGTAGATGTGTTTGTCATTGGCTGGTCTTATAGCCCAATAGCCCATTTTTGACACATCACCAGAATGCACACATTCCATATCACAAAAGAGTGTGAGTTCTACAGTACTGTGCAAAAGTCAGAGATCAGCTTTTATTTATTTAAGTTCACTCAAAACAGTTGTTAAGAACAAGATATTCACTTTTCAGGAGGTATTTTTGAGGAGATTAGGTGTAAAATCATCTGCTTACGTAAGGAAGAAAAACAACAAAGAAAAAATAAGTGGAGAAAAATGGGATTTTCCAAAACTGGAGTTTAAAAAATGATTAAAAGATATAGAGAGGGACTCTTACCAACCATGCAAGACCTGCTGGGCCAGGCATGTCAAACTGGGGACCTTCCAGGCCAAATGATGGCTGCAGAGATCAGTGTTTATCCTCATCTAATGCTTTGATTTCAGTTCACGAAGGCCTTACTAATGATGCAATGTGCTGAAGCCTGCAGTGTTTTGGCCCGCAAACACTGGAGCCTGACACATGTGTGGTAGACCATCAAAACATGCCCCATCAGATAAACAGCACTTAAAGCTTTCATCTTTGAGAGAGAGGAGAAAATCAAGCTCCACTCTTGCTTCATAAATTGAACCACAAACATTCACAATTGCCATGAGTACTCTGAGATTGAGATTTTGTCACTAAAATAAAAAATTCTATATAGACAAAGATTATAATTACAATTACTAATGAAGACAATTTGACTTCAGCTGAACGGAACAGCCAAAAAGAGCAAACAGATCAACTGGATTTCCATACCAAACAAAGACAAGGACATCAAGGCCAAATCGGTCTGCAGTGTTGCAGGCTGGGGGAAACAAAAATCCAGTGGAACCCGCAGTGCACGTCTTATGGAGGTTGACGTCAGCATCATAGACAAAAAAGCATGTCAGAAATACTGGGACAGGGCCTACTCAGTGTCGAGGATGGTGTGTGCAGGAGGTCATGGAGGATTCTGTCAGGTATGAAACTACTTTGTCCAGTGTATCCAAGTATTTTCTATGTATTCATGTACAGGACAGTGCACTTACTGCACAGATTACAATGGAGAGAAATGAAGCTCTGACACAAAACGTATGCATCTGTTTGCAGGGCGACTCTGGAGGGCCTTTGGTGTGTAAGGGAACTGCAGTCGGCATCGTTTCATTCACAGACGATGGAGACTGCAGCTATCCTAAGAGGCCCAACGTCTACACCAAGATCTCCAAATTTCTGCCCTGGATTAAGGGTATTATGGGAAGTATGGAATGAGCACCAGACTAATAAACATTGTGGCTGTTCCTCTATATGTTTGAGAGTTTTCATTTTTTTGTGTGAGCTAAAAGAAGCCTGAATTTTAAATACAACAAACTAGAGACTGCAAAGAAGGCCTGAAGGTTCTGGGTTCGATTCCCCGGCCTGGCAACCGGGGTCCTTTCTGGGTGGAGTTTGCATGTTCTCCCCATGTCTGCATGAGTTTCCTCTGGGTGCTTTGGTTTTATTAGTCCAAAGACGTGCAGCCAGGCCAGTTGGAGATGCTAAATTGCCCCTAGGTGTGAGTGTATGTGTAAATGTGTATGTCTGTGTGTCTGCCCTGTGATGGACAGTGACTTGTCCAGACTGTTTCCTGCCTTCCAGCCAATGAGCACTCGAATATGCTCCAGCTCCCCAGGAAGATAAGTGGCTTAGATGATGAGTGAGTGAGTGTTTCAGTGGACTAAACTGAGCACTTGAAAAAAAAAATCTCTAGCAATGCTGACTAACATAACGTAAAAATGGCTGAAGCAGTGCAGGTCCCATCACATGCATTTATGTATAGGCTCATCCCAGGACAGCTCATCAGAACAGACACAACAGGGTTAAATATCAGGTCAGGAAAGGGAATAATTTCACATATTTTTGTAGATTTGTAATGTTCTGTACTATTTCTAGTCTGAAGAGTGAAGTGGGAAAATTGCTTATTAAAAAAAAAAGAATGTGGATGACAAAAGCCAAGGGTTTAAAAATAAATGAAGAAGTCTGTTCATCTCCCCATTTCACATTCAAAACTGATGTGACTCCTTTGTTCCATGGCGCTGGTCAAAAGGAAACATTGGGCCTCGTTCATCAATATCTTCCTAAGTTTTTTCTTAAACGTGTTCTTGAGGAAGGTCCTAAAAAAAAGTCTACGTCAGATTCATAACGTGTTTTAAACCGCATATTGTTCACACCTTTGTGCTTTCGAGTGTACGTAGATTCTGCTTTATCTAAGAACAAATTCCAAATAAGAAAACATGGGGTGAAGATGAATCTTCGTGAAAAACTGCGTGAGCGGGTTTTAAGAAGAAATTTCTTCTTAAGAACAATAGGTGAATGAGGCCCAATATGCGGCACTACAGAACAATCACTTCAAATTAAATTATTATCCAGTTCTTAGAACAAACAACCAACATGAAAGGTCCACCAGTACTCTCGTCCATTCCTCGACACTGCAAGAACAAAAAGAGAAGGCTTTTGCATTTTCTTTTACTGAATTTATCAAAATTTATGAAACTACAGTTTTTTTATTCTTCTGTGGAAAAATCTTTTTAATTTTCTTTCAAAAAGTTTTTTACAAACAATAGCCAATGGCCATAGAGTATTTTTACAAACAATAGCCAATAGCCATAGAGTGTTTTTTACAAACAATAGCCAATGGCCACAGAGTGTTCTTTACAAACAATAGCCGATGGCCATACAATTTTAAAATGCTCATTAGATTACAAAAGTAAGCTACGCACAATAAAGGAGTTTGCTGGACTGATCATTAATGTTAAACATTTAAAGGTAACTATTTGTCTATTCAGAAATTGGACATAACTGGATCTTTGCAAGTTTTAGTTGAATACCACTGGACAAATACATCCACTAGTAGCCCTTCTGGTGAGCTGCTGTCTAGTGGGAGACAGTGGGATACTTGTGAGTATTAGGGGTCTGCTACTGGACAATGAATTATATGTGAAAATAAGACTATAAGGGGCAAGGCTTCTTCTGAGTGGTATTTACATGACTGCTAAAAGTTGGTGGGGCAGGATATGACTAATCAGTTAAATGCTTTCTATTTTACTCTTTCTGAATGAAACAGCAGAGCTGATGTTAAAGAGGTCGAGTCTTTACTGGCTACAAATCAGACATATCAAAAAGTCATATCCTTAAAATAAGACACGTTGTATTGCGGTTAGCTGCATATTTCTGCAGAGAGGAGCGTGAAGTGAACTTTGTACAGAAAAATGCTTCATAACAATTAATCAGCGTGGGTTATGAAACAAAAAGAAACAGGCAAACCACTTGTTTCGGCAATATGGAAGCAGAACCAAACCACCTGGTGCCATCGGGACAACAGGAAAAAGCTGGCATTTAACCAGCACGTTTCAGACTCCTGGGGCGATGCCCTTCCATTTTTGATGGAGTTTAAGCTACTTCTTTAAAAATAAATAAAAAAATAAAATCTCCACTCTAAGAGCTCACAATTAAGCACTGAGTCACGGCTTATCTTACCACATTATGTTAAAGTTCCTTACAGATTAGTTGCGATATTTCTTACTGCTACCTTGATTGATGTTTTCAGAAATGTTAGCCAACAGAGATCTGACTGGAGCCCAGTGAAGCCCACATGATTAAATCAAACAACAAAAATATTGTTCATAAACAGGTTTATTGATTATGATGGGGTCATATGTTATTATATTGAATACCCCCATTATATTGTATTTATTGTTGAAGTGAAAACAAGTTCCTCTACAGGGAACACTGTAACGCTGAACAAGCACAGAAAGACGCTCGCAGATCTTAAAAACAACAGTTGGTTTAATGAGAGAAACAAGTCAGGGCAAATCCAAAAACAATGTCCAAAAACAGGCAAAAGTCAAAAACTAGAAAATACAAAGACACAGGCAACCAGAGCAATACAGGCAAATCCAAAAGAGAAACAATCGAGAAAACAGGCAATGGGTTCAGTACACAGGACATGAAAATAGAAGATAAACACTCAGTAACCAGTACTGTGGCAAAACCTTGCAAAGAGGAGAACAAACCAGGATCCTTTTAAAGTCTAAGGCAAACAGATACAGGTGTGTTGAATCAGTACTCAGGTGATTGAGAAAGAGGCACTGTGATTGGTGGAAGGGGTGATGTCATGATGATTGGGATTCTGGGAAATGGAGTCCTGGAGCGTGTTAGGCAAGGGATGAGAACCCGGAAGTGTGACAAACACAGATAAATATGGTATCATAAATATAAATATGTCAAGTTCAGTTTATTTAGCACATTTCATCAACAACATTTTACATTAAGGAAAAAAACATCTAAGAGGAGTGTGTTAAATTCAGCAAAAAAATATTAACTGTGCATATAAATGTGCAGACCAGGGTGCCCAAACTTTTGCATACAGCTCCACATAGTGCTGAAAGTAAGTTATAGCTAGTCAGACAGTGGCCTACTTTTCGAGATAAAGATCAGGCCCCTTTCCTGCTGGTGTTCACCAAGTCACACCAAGTTGTTGGTTTTGGAGGTCTTAGGTCACTCCTAGCCCTGAGAAGGTGTGTGGGAATGAAGGGTGTTTGTGATGAACTTAACCTGCCCACTCTGCTACATATAATCCTCTTCCTCGCTGTTGACGGCTCACGCTCTAGCAAATATGTGTTTTGTAGTGTTTGTAGGGTTAAATATCACAGCAACAGTGAGTCAGATCAGTTGGCTCAGCTCACCAGTAAGAATTGACTCCTTTGGCTCCAAAATAGCTCTTCATGCAGGAGCAATGGAAGTTTTTTTATTTTCTTTCTAAAATGAGTGATATTATCCATTATTTGATATCAGGTGCACCAAAGACTACCATATAGACCTTGATGTAACTACCAATTTTTACCAAGATAAAATAAAATACAAATAAATTAGAATAAAGAAATAAAGAAATTTAAACAAAATCTTGATTGTAAGTAAAAATATGAACAGTACATATAAAAATAAAAAACAAACGGGTACATTAAGGCTTAATCCCATTTCACCCCTTGCCCCTACCACTTAGCCCTTAGCCCTCTGTTTTGTGGGTTCACGTCTAGGGTTAGGGTGTCCCTATTTTTGTTGGGATAGAGGGGTAGGGCGAAGTGTTGGGGCTTCATGGCCCTTTGTTACGACCCGGTCTAGGTCGGGCCGCAACATAAAAATAAAGAGACCTCCGTGCCCTCCCGGTTGCCCAAGTCACACAGACAACCAATGTTTGCGACAATAACAATTTGGCTTTATTTTCAAGAGTTCAAGGCTTTAGACATTTATGAAATGGTAGGGGAGAGAAGAGTAAAATAACAAACAAAAACACAGCTAACTTAAGTTTAGAAAAATATAACTTACCTAACAAACAAAAGAAAATCAAATACAATTTCTAACCTAACTTCCTAACTAAAGCAAACCAAGAGAAAAACACAACAAAAAAAAATAACCGCCTCTTCCCCAATGAGAGTTTATGTACAAGAGCTATTGTCTGGGCAGCCACGGTAGCTGAGTGTTTACAGTATATTTCAGTGAAAGAGTAACGGCATGAGCCAGCTTTTACAAAAATCTCAATGACAAACAGCAAAACACCAATAAACCTTACACCGGTAGCGAAGCTCTCACACCAACACAGCTCTACAGTAGTGTCGCTCAAGTGACTGCAGGGAACCGGGAACGCAACAGAAGCCACGCCAGAAGCAAAAGCACCCCCCACTTCGGCCTGGGCGTCTCTCTTTTATTGGCGGCTCCCCCTGGTGGTGGCTCAGTGCATCTTCCCTCAGCTCTGCAATAAATACAAAAAACACACTACAAAAACTATGACCCATAGGGTCATAACACCTCCACACCTAAAAAAAAACAATGTTGTTCTATAGTCTTGATAGAGCATCTGCTACAACATTTTCACTGGCTTTCTTAGGCTGGATCTCAAGATTAAAATCTTGAATCATTAAAAACCATCTCATTAACCTCTGGTTGGCATTACGCATTCGATATAAAAAAACCAAAGGGTTATGGTCAGTATAGACCACCACAGGCAAATTGCTAGACCCCAAATACACTTCAAAATGCTGCAAGGCCAACAGGAGAGCTAATGCTTCTTTCTCTATGGTACTGTATGCAACTTGATGTTTGTTGAACTTCTTGGAAAAATAACAGGATGCTCCACCCCTGCAGAGTCTTCTTGTAGGAGTACAGCCCCAGCTCCAGAAGAACTGGCATCAACTTCCAGCTTGAAAGGCTTGGAGAAGTCAGGAA